AAATTTTCGTAGATTAACTCGACTCATGCCACGAACGCTGCGCACAAGTTCGTTGTTCAGATGAAAAACCATCTTGCTTTCGGCAATGAGTAAAGTTTTTATCGATTCATCAAAGTCCTTGGCTTTCGTATCGAATATATTGCGCAATTTTGTTTTTAATTCTGCTATTGTGTAGCCGTCGAACGAAGTGACGGCTTCACCCCTCTTATTGCAACCATGATTTAGTGGGTTCAATAATCGTTTCTTTTGTAATATTTGCCCTCCAGAAAGCAGCCCCATATAAATATGGTACACATATGCCTGTAACAAAAATTTAATGGGTCATCTTCCAATCAGATTAAAATTGATACGTACAATGTACATTTTACATACCAGTAAAAGCGTTGGGCTGCGTTTTTTTACATCATACAAATGCTTCACAATGAAAAAAATTCATTATAAAAAATTATTATTATGTATATTTTTTTATAATGCAATATTTGTTTACCTTCAAATATATTTTAACGCTGTTTCGCATTTCGTAATCATGTTTCCAATTTTCACCCAGATAGAATTCGAGGTCCCTTTCGAGGGCTGATGTTCGATGAAATTCTTTTGGAAGCAATTCCTCTGACATGTTTGTCTCTAAAAAACGAAAAATCTCATAAAATACCAACAGTCCATCGGCCCACACAGAATTATCTGAAAGTGCTGAAATATACAATTAAATAAAAATATAGGTTCCACATGAATAAAAATTTTTTTATACCGAACAATAATTACCGAAAAAAAATTTTGTGTTTACCAGTGCATCGCTAATTTTATGCACGTTCCTAGTTTCCCTTCGTAGTCGCTTGGAGAAATTTTCTAAGTTGGCCATAATACACTCAATATGATTTAAAACGCAATATTGAGTTTAATATATGTGATGTCAAAATTATGACAAAGTGTCGAAATAGATATAACATTGTAAACAAAGAGAATGGCAGTTCATTAAGGTTCATTCACATTGAATGCATATGCCATATGTTTTCGTATTCGTAAATTAATTTCAAAATATACGAATATTGAATGTTCGATGCAAAAAAACGATCATCGAGAATGGTAGTTCGACGTCACTTGTCGAAAAAAATCAAATTCGTAGTCAAAATTTTAGTGGGTCAAAAATACAAAAAAGTTTAGCAGATATTCAGTTATAGTAGAATGAAAGCTTAACAAAAAAACACGGGTACATTCAGTATTTTTGGGAATAGTTTTTAATTTTTTGTTCAGAAGTTGGGACACGTAAAATTTGAATCTATCTTTTTCCTTTGAATTTTTTGTTGCCAGCTCCTTTTTGTGGTCCTTTGAATCGTTTTCGTGCACCCAAAAACTGTTCTGTATCATCAAATTCATCAGCATCACCACGTTTCTTTCCTCTTTGACCTTTGCGATCTTCAATATCTTTTAATTGCAATTTGGCTGCTCGCTGAGCCTCACCAACTCTTTCTTGTAGTGCTAAAACTTCTTCCTCTTCACAGTCAAATTTTGGCAATTGCTTTCCAAGTAGATGTTCAATCCTTGATGAATGAAAAAAGAAATGTTTAACAATTGATTTTAAATGAACTCTTAATATGTAGTAGTAATGTTCAAGTTTTGATTCTAGTCCATTTCATAAATGAAAAACAGAAAAATACTGCTTTTCAGATTTGAAATGATAATTTTTGTTTAACGTAAAATTGAAAATGTATTCTCCCTCTCTTTGCACATCCAAATGTCCGTCTTAATATCATACCTTTGATATAATTCTACATCGTATTGTGTCACAAAAGTGATCGCTTTTCCAGCGCGCCCAGCGCGCGCTGTCCTACCAACCCGATGAATGTAATCTTTGCTATGCTGTAATTGAAGAATATTGTAAAAGGTGAACGTTTTTTTTTTTTCGCCACAAAATATGAGCATACCGTGGGAATGTCTAAATTGATGACAATATCAACGTGGGGGATATCCAACCCTCGACTTGCGACATCAGTTGATATTAAAATTGAACGGTTCTTTGATCTGAACTTATTTAGCGCGGCCAATCTCTTATTTTGTGACATTTGCCCATGGAGCGGGATGGCATTCATTCCGAGATTTCGCAATAGTAGTGCGACACGGACTGTGTTACTGCAAGTCGAACAAAAGATCATGAAGCTATTGCCAGCTAACTCATTTAATACGCTAACCAGGTATACATCTTTATATTTCACGGGGATGAATATGTAATATTGTTGTAAATTTTCAACCGTCCCATATTTATTTGAAACTTCAACTTTGATGGGGTCTCTGAGAGAAGCTCTCTGTAATTTCTTCACTTGCTTTGTCATTGTTGCGCTGAATAAATAAGTTCGACGTTCACGTGGAATAACTTTAAGAATTTTTTCAAGTTCCGTCTAATGCAATACAAGGAAGTGAATGAAAGAAAATATGTCATATTATACTTATCATTTGTCATCGTTGGCGGATGATCGATTTTACCTCGAAATCCATATTAAGTATTCTATCTGCCTCATCAAGAACCAAGTATTTGATGGCCTTAAGATTAAATCCTTTAGTATTCTCCAAATGGTCGCACTGTAAAATAAATAACAATTGATTATTATGTCACATAAGACATTGTATAAAATGCAAAAATGTAGATTAAAGTATTATATATTAATTTATTATTCAAATAAACCACCAGTCTATATTAATAAAATATGTTATGTAAAATTTCGTACCAAACGTCCTGGTGTGGCCACTAGGATATGAGGTTTTTTGGCCAGTTGCAATGCCTGAGACACCATGTCCAAACCACCAACAATAACTGTACATTTCACACCAACAGAAGAACCTAATGCCTCAACAAAAAAAAAATTTCATATACAGAAACAAACTCAATATGTTTTTTGTTACCTAAAGCCTCAACCTGTTCGGCAATTTGGAAGGCTAACTCTCGTGTCGGCGTCAAAATTAGAGCGAAATATCGCTGAGGATTCTCCAGTAGTGAATTTAAAATTGGCAATGCAAAAGCTCCTGTTTTTCCGCTTCCAGTTTCAGCGAGCTGAAAATAAAACTCTCAATTTGAATTAAATTTTCACAAATAGGATTTATGTTACAACTGACCGCAATTAGATCCCGATTTTGTAATGCCACAGGGATTGCTTCACGTTGAATTTTTGATGGTGTCTTCCATTTCAATTCCTTGACTGCTTCAATTAATGGCTCTGCCAAACCCTTTTATATTGAATGTATAAAATAAACATAGTATTTCTCTTCTCTTTTTTTTAATACATACCAAATCGTTCCAGGTGACATGTTTTTCAACATTCAAAATTTCATTTGATGATATTGTATTCTGAACCTCGTTTCCGTTGATTTTGGATTGTTGATGTGACGCCTTTTCATCGTCATACGACGAGTCCGATGAGTACATTTTTTCAATTTATTTTATTTTATGATGTATCATGAGAAAACCCAAAATTCAGTTAAAATTGTAATAACAATATAAAATCACGTGTTATCCCTTGTTACTATGACATTTGTTACTATGACCATGTGTTTATCACTCAAATTTTAGATGCGTTCAAAGCTGTGAATGCGTTCAAAACTGTTCTAAAATATTTCATATTAAAAGAAAATTATCTTAAAAATATATATTTATTATTTCCTCAAAATAGTTCGATAAAAAAACATTCTTCAACATTTTAACAATTAAATCTTTGGTTTTTGTTCATCACATTCAAATGCAACAATAATTTCGCCTTTAATAACACTATTCCCCAGCTTTTTGCTAACACTTTTAATTGTCCCATTTTTCGGTGCTTTGAGAACGTATTCCATTTTCATTGCAATGATAACGGCAACGGGCTGTCCGACTTCAACCCATTCACCAACCTCTACCAAAATTTTATCGAAAATACCAGGCATTGGTGACACCACTTTATCTGATGATTTGTCGGTCTCACCATCTGTTGAACCATCTGTTGAACATTCCGTAAAAAACTTTGGCAACACTAAAGAGAATTCATTTCTACCATTCTGGAAAGAAACACATAAATCAATTTTAATTTAAGTTTAGACATTAAAGTAATACTTGGTTGAAAATATCGATGTAATTGTCTTTGATAACGGTTGAGAAAATTGATTCCTTTCCATCCAAATGCAGTTTTAAAGTGAATCGATTTGGATATGAGTCCTTAACGGAATTAATTGAAAATGGCTTCCAATCGTTGTCATCAATTTTAATTTCGTAGTTTGATCCAACATATCTAATGTGAATGTTGTACTTTTGACCGTTTGATTCAATACTAAGCGTTCGTTCTAAATACGAATTTAGTCTGAATCCATCACAAGCTGCAAACGGTGAACCCCTGCAACCTTGTCTAATTGACAAAGCTATTGCCACATATCTTTCATTTGTTACTATTGCTGCAATGGCTTGAGTGATGGTTTCATCTGAAATTTGTATCGGTGGGAAGAGTGAATCCAAATGTGTATCAATGAAACCCGTATGAACGTCACCAGCTTGAAATGATGGATGTGATGCCAAATCAATCAAAAAATTTACATTTGTATCAAGACCAGAGATCTGAAAAATATAATAATTTAAAGTTTTCCGTACTGTGTTCCACGGCATGCATTTAATATATGTATATCTTTTGATGTACAATTTATCCACGAGAAATTTGAATCTGATATTATTTTCACATAAGATTACACATAATTTTCGACACACTTTTCATACAAGCATTTTTATATATGAAGCCATGCCTATATGATATCGTAATGATGAGAAACTTTGCACAGGTTATTTTATTCACGATGTGGTTCCTGTTTTTATGATTTAAACATAAATATAAGCAATACTGAAAGTATAGTGTATCTTTATGCCTTACACAAAAATCCAAATTTTTCCCATTTTTGAAACTTCGTCGTTGACCTGTGACATCTCAGTTTATATTTTTTTCGCAAAAAAACGCCTGATTCGTTATCAGGGGATCCCATAGCCAAGATTATTACCCTCGCCGTTGAAATGTTTGAAAAACCTTAACGCTTACATATAATTTTCTTTTTAATTCAGTGTGTTGTTCTAGCAAAATGCTGTGAAACTAATTGGCAAACTGGATAAAGAAAACACCTGATGAACAAGCATAGACGGGCGATGTTACAGTGATGAATCATGGGCACAAAATTGGACTATTGGATTATTGGATTTGAACGGGGAGTGAACTGCTTATAATTGAATGCTAAGTAAACTCGTTGCTCAGGTTTCGTAATCTATTGCAAGACGGGCGTGTGTGTAATGTTGTACACGAAAAAAGTCTTTATCCAAAAATATGTACGAGACATGGATTTTGTTCACATGTTCAAACATAATACTGAAAACGCAAGGACTACAAATTTGCATTATATGCCGTCTCAAAGCACACGTCGATTGTGTACGCACCACAGACGATGTATTCATATGCCCAAACTGTATCTCCGACGAAGATGAAGAATCAGATGATGACTGAGAATTGGTAGAACAATAATATTCATAGATCAAACAAAACACACAGATAATCTCTATTCGACATCCTCAAAAGGTTAGAGGGTGAGTTGGACAATTTCAGTAAAATCAGACAAGAATTGCAAGAATTTAATTATATTGTATTTATTTAAATTATTTTGAATAAACCATCAAAGCGAAGGAACGCTGTTCGGTGCAGTTATTATTATTAGACCAACGCAATAATGAGTTGAAATTTTGTTTTGTTGGATCATTTTTTATCCGAACTTAGATATGTCATAAATGCATGTTGTGGATCACAGTGCGGAAAAATTCATGATACGGATGTAAGAAATTTTATTTTTTTATAAGAAAATGAAATTCACTATCACTATATCACTAGTTTTCTCGGTGACTAAGTTACTGCAGACTAGGGTGGGTCATTTGATCCATTTTCATGAAATGTACCATGGACATGTTTTTTATTATAGAGGACCTCAATACAAACAACTTTTGTTCTACGACTTTGACCCCAGATGAACCTCCGTTCGGCCCGGTACATTTTCATATTCCATGATATGACCCTCTAATGACCCTCTGAATCGTTAGTTTTTAGGGTCTAGATGCCATCGGATCGCATTTTTATGGCGTTAAATCGATTCCTCGTCAAAAATTA